GACATAATGATGTATGGTATCATTTCTGCACTGAGATAGAAGACTGTTTATCCATAAAATACAAATATCCAAAAAATTACAAATGCAATTCTCTCAACATAAGTTTTCTGTGGTGCCAAGTCTATTAGTGAATCTTGTTCGGGAAGGTGAGTTATTCCATAGTTATCTCCATTTATAAGGTGAAAGCACTTGTAAATGCAGGTAGTGCTTCTGTGATATTAATAACCAAGTATAATGCTGAGTAATATCAGCAAATAATGTATTGACTAGCACTATGAAAGGCACCTATAAACAACTAACATTTACCAAATGTGAGTTGTATAAAAGGTGATTTCAGAACCTGAATAATCTTTATCTGTAGCTATATCCACAAATACTTAAGAAAAAAAAAGGTGTTTCACTGTTTATATATTAATTCTTATTTATTCAGAGGTAGGGAATACATGCTGAGTAAGTAAAACCTGTTAGAAAAATATAATTTACAATTACAGCACATGAAATAACTGATGTAAAAAGGAAACAGCTACTTCCTTTTCCCTTAACAGTAGTTGAAGCCAGTGAATTCAAAAATTGAAAGAATTCACAATCTTCTGAATGGAATAAAGAAACTTTTTGCTACCTTACCTCTCACCTTAAATCTTATTGGACTGTTCTAGAGAGTTAGTGTTTATCAGGAAAAATAAAAGTACTGCCTGTTCAGACGTTAGAAGGGTTGAAGTGGGGAAGTTCAAGCCAAGAAACCATGTTATTATATTCAGGTGAAGACTGTTCTGCCATCTGAACATAATGCCACAAGGGAGGCTTCACTATAAATATATTTACTGCTATAGAAGCTATATCTATAATGAATTGAAACACTTTGGTAGTTTTGCACCCCAAGCAATTCCTGGTGAAGTACATCTGCAGCAGCAAATGGATATTCATATTAGTAGATAAACAAATTTTCACGGTGCATCAGACATAGTTTATTATGAAGAGCCCTTTAACTCCAGTGTTTATGATATAAGAACCAAATTATTGGGATCCATCATGGTATAAGGTTAACCTAAAGCAACCATTTTCCACTCTGCACTCCACTGTCATCTCCTGTTCTAGCATCACATTGCTAGATAACATTAATAGGTAACATTAGGTAACAATAGATAACAATAGGTAACATTATTGGCAACAGCGTCTAAAAGCAGCACTGAGACTTTTACAGTATAGAAACACTACAGCTTATTCCTCACCTAAAGGACTCTTCTGCCAAAATCCAAAACCATTTATAATTTCCATAGAGCAACTTGACTACAGTTTGGAAAGTTTTCCTTGATCTTATTTGATAAAAATTTCCTCACTAATTTCAGTGGCTTGAAAATGTGAATTAGTGATCTGTTGGCTGTCACAGAAGGTCCAAAAAAGGTCATTAGAGACTTGGAATGCCAAAAAGTGCTGGCTGTTTTGGCCTGCTGTGTTTATCATATTCCTTGTTTTTTATAAGCTTATATGTTGTATGTGATGATTAAGGAATTTTGTCACTATGTGTTTAGGTTGATAATACTGAAGAAATCACCTTTGAAGCTTTGAAGAAAGCAATTGGTAAGATTTATTACACTTGTGTTTGTGCAGCATAGTTCACAATTACTATGGAGTTGCTTAAGAAAGAGGAGAAGCCAGAATAACAAAAAATACTACTTTGAACATAAAAACTACTTTTGTTTCTTCTCAGCTAGTAAATTAATTAATAACGCAAGTTATTTATTTCTAAATCTCTGAAATTACATGTTGATAATTGACTGATTATCAACAATTGTTGAACAATTGATTATCAACAAATGTAATTGTTGATTACATGTTGATAATTCATATTAGTGAATTCATTTTCTGAAGTTAATGGGACTGAATGAAAAACATCTGGAAATGCCTGTCATCTATTACATTTGCAGTACAGACAAAGCCATAAATATGAAATATTTAAGTTACATTGAGTGATTACTTATGAAGTAATTTGAATATTTTTTATGTATTAAGATTTTGGGTCTTCAGTGAATTAAAAAATAGGTTGTAAATTACACATCATGGATTTTAAAGTGCTAAGATTTTTTAAAATAATATTTTTCTGACAAGTGACCTAGCTATGGGAATACAGAATTATCCAGATTCCTTAAGTAATTGCTAATTAAAGCTTTGCAGTCTGCCAAAATCCTGTTTAAAATATGGATTAAACATTGATGTTTAGAACAGTAGAGGCATTCTGAACAGTAATTTAATCTGCTAGTATTCCAACTGTGACTAATCCCTGAGATACTTAAATTCACTGGATGCTGGAACGTATAGGTTCAGTTAGCTTATGGAGATTGAACCGGCTTTTCCCAAATTCTGATAGAAAACTCTGGCCACCTGTCAGCATGGTACTCAGAGATTCTTGTTTCCTCTTGAATCTGAACCTGGGTACAGCAAGTGAAAAGTGCGGGCAATAAAGCAAAAGGGAGCCTAGATGTTACTTATAATTAAAGACATAGTAAGAAAGGGAGAAAATTGGGTCCTCAAACCATCTCCCTGAAATTTTATCTGCATTTCACTTTATGAGCAATGCCAGATGACAACTCACTTGAGAATGGTTACATCACTTCAAGCACAGCCCTTGTTCACTTCTGCAGTGCACATTTGATCTTGTACTTCACAGGCAAAGACTGCATTTGTCTTTATTTTTTTTTTTTCATTATTCTTTTAAGATAACAATGGACTTGAAGAACAGGAAAAGGAAAAAAGGCGTCTCGTGATTGAAAAGTTCCAAAAAGCACCATTTGAGGAAATTGCAGCTCAGTGTGAAACCAAAGTGAGTTTCTGCAAAATGTTAGCCCTGAGGGTATCAGTGTAGGCAATAGTGGGCACCTTCTGACTGAAAGTGTTTTAAGTTGTCTTGTCACTGCTGCAGTTACTTCTTGAGAAGTTTTTTTTTTTTTGTTTCTCTACTGCTGTCAATGTTGGGACATTCCAGTAATTTGAAGTGTGTTTTTTTTGTTCTTAGACCATTTGGAAGGTAATGGGTAGCTTGTACATTCTTTACCATAATATTTTCCTTGTTATCTTTGAAATCCAGGTTCACAGTCCATTCCTATTTCATTCTGGGATAACTGGAGCAGCATTTAACCCACTAGGTATTTTAAATAACTAAATGTATCTCAGGTTTGTTAAATTCCTGTCTGCAACAGCAGAATTTGCTGTTTAATTCTTGGCATTCCAGGACAGGCTCACTCAATCTTAAATGCATCTTTAAGACTCAGAATCTTTGCAGCACTGAGAAAGGAAATTAAGAAATGAGGCCTAGATTTACATGTGGCAGTGTGGAACACACTCACCTGAGTATGGCCTGGCTCCCATTGTAGCTCAATTCAATATCTAGGAGTCAATAATTCAGTTTTAATTCTTCTTTTCCCTAGGCAAACTTGCTTCACGATAGACTGGCACAGATACTGGAACTCACCATCCGGTAAGGCTTTATGTGAAAAGAATATCATAACTGAAAAATGGCTTAGAAAACAATTGTGGCTGTTTTCAGATGGTTATGTCTTAGTGTTCTCAAACACCTGTAATAGGGAGAAAATAATTGCCTTAACTGAATGCTTTGGTTTACCCCTGATAGGCCTCATGTAACCCCAGGTAGCCACTGGCTTAACCTTCCTCAGCAGGATGAGGAAGAGAATTGGAAGGGTAAAAGTGAGAAAAACCATGGGTTGACATAAGAATAATTTAATAGGTAAAACAAAAGTCACACATGCTAGCAAAGCAAAATAAGA